TACTACTACTACTACTACTACTACTACTACTACGACTACTACTACTACTACTACTACCACTACTACTACTACGACTACTACTACTACTACTACTACTACGACGACGACGACGACGACGACGACGACGACGACTACTACTACTACTACTATTACATAACCTTCTCCTCCTCCTCCGCCTCCTCCTCCTACTCTTCCTCCTCCTCTTGTTCATCCCCATGCTCCTGCTCATCCTTACCCGTCCGCTCTCCTCCTCCAGATGCTCCTCCAGATCCCTATTGTCCTCCTTGTCTTCATCCTCCTGCTCCTTCTTCCCCTCCTCTTCCTGCGCCTCCTTCCTCGTTCCCCGTTCTCCCTCCATCGCGTTGCCTTCCCTACCTTGCCCTCTCATCCCCATCCCCATCCCTCCCATCCCTCGCTCCCCTGCCACCTCCCACCTCCCCCCCACCACTCCCTGCGTCGGACCTTCCCCCATGTATCCCTACCTGCGCTGCGGCTCCCTCCCTCCATGCCTTCGCTGGCACGGCACTGGCTAATTCCATCTCGCTCAGTTCAGTGCCACGGCTCTGGTTCAGTGGTTTGAAACGGCTCTGAGTCTCGGGGGCAGGGGAAATTCAAATGGGTGTGGTGCGGGATGATGAGAATAAAATGGAGGAGAATACGGATGAGAACGAGGGCGGCGAGGAGACGGAAGAGGAGGAGGAGGAGAAGGAGGAGGATGAGGTCCTGCGTCTGTACGACCGCCAACGACGGCCACAACCCGTCGGAGTACCAACGGCCTCCATCGTAATCGCCAGATGGAGGGGAACGCAGGAGTGGAAAGGAAGGAGGTGGAATAAACGAGGAAGGAGGACGGAGGAGGGAGGACGGATGGAGGAGGGAGGACGAAGGGGTCGAAGAGGACAGAGGCGGGAGCAAAGGGAACGATTGGAGGCGCGCCGGCCACCCTCCCCGAGCTTCTCCTGGTAGTCCCACCGGCCGCGAGGACCTCGGGAGGGGGGCGGGAGCCGAATGGCGGAGGATGCATCCTTATCAGTTCTCTCCTCCTCTTCCTCCTCCTCGTCCACACCCTACTCCATCCTGTTCATTGAACTCCTCGTCTACTATCCTTATTTCCCGTCACCTCCTCCTCCTCCTCCTCCTCCTCCTCCTCCTCCTCATTCTCGTTCTCATCCTCCTCCTCATCCTCCTTCTTTCACTAGACTTTGTCATCAACCTCCTCCGCGTCATCATCCTCCTCCTGGCCATGCACTCATTTGTCTCGTCCGCTTCGTCCATCTCCTTCTCCCTGACCATACCCCTTCTCCTTCCAAGTCCCTTGACCCCATCCCCCCTTCTCTTCTGCTCATTCGTATGATTGATCCTTCTCCGCCTCCAGGCCATGCTGGGCATGTCCTCCTGCAGGCGGATTTCGATGAAAAACCACGAATTGTCAAACACATTGAGAAATTATCAGTTATTCCATTCTATATATACATCTATGTACGAATCTCTCGATGTATATATATATATGTTTATATGCAAGCATGCTAGATATATACACATATTTAAATATGTATATATACACACATGTATACACGTATGTATCTATGTAGATATATACACGAAAAAAAAACGCCCCAAAATTATTCTCTACTGCTTTTGAATGGAACATCACTCCTGTGGCGGGACATGCCCGACTCAGCTCTGGGCCCAGGCGTCGGCCGCCCGCCGCGAGGCCGCCTCCCCTCGTCTGCCGATCGCCGGCCGCCGTCGCCCCTCAGACACTGCCACGAGACGAGCAGAGAGGAAGAGGAGGAGGAGGAGGAGGAAAAAGGAGGAGGAGGAGGAGGAAAAGGAGGAGGAGGAGGAGAAGGAAAAGGGGGAGGAGGAGGAGGAAAAGGAGGAGGAGGGGAAGGGGGAGGGGGGCCTGGTATAGTTTCCGCCTCCAGGCATTGCCACGTGACGAGCAGAGCGGAATAGGAGTTTGCTCGCCTCGCTGCGTTGCCACGCGGCGAACAGCACAGAATAGCATCTGTCTCGCCCCCCCTCCAGGCCTCGCCGCGCGACGGAAAGAATTGGTAGATGTGTACGTTCTCCGCCTTGCTGCGATGCCACGCGTCGAGTAGACTTGCACCGTATCGCTTCGCCCCTCAGGCGTTGCCCACTGGCGAATATAGTGCTGCCCCGCTGCGCGCCACGTGGAAAGTAGAGTCATCTGTGTCACTCCCCCTTCTAGAGCGACGTAGCGAGCGGAAAAATTGGGCGTGCCCCCTCTCCCGCAGAGTGGAATGATGTTTGGTTTCGCTCCCCTGGCGTTCCCGCGCAACGACTGGCTTGGTTGTTCTTAAACATGCCCTGGGCGTTTTTACTTACTGTTTCCAACTCGGCGTGTTGGAAACAATTGTGTTGCGATTGTTATGCCCCAACAAGAGCATGGATCACGAAAACGCAAACTGTTTGGTTTTGCGTTCTGAACTTCGTTTGTTTGGCGTTTTCAGAACAGCCGATTGCAGTGTTAACACTGCCGTCGACCACGTACTCAGTTCCTTCGCGTCTAGTCCCCCATAGAGTTATGTCGGGCCTGTCACTCTACAGGAGGAATATTTCAAACAATTCTTAAAAAATAGCCTGGGGACGATGTTTAAACAAAGTTCGAATATTGTTTGAGTAGTTTTTTGATATTTTTAATTGTTCGTCCGAAATCCCCCTGTAGGGGACATGCCCGACCTAACCATGGACCTTATACTCATGTTGCTCTTCTCTAGTCGTCGCTGCTGGCTAATCGCGGCGCCTCCAGGCCTGCTCCGCGCGCCGGTGCGAGACTGGCGTTGGGGCGTGCTCGGGTGTTTTTAGCTGTGCGCTCTGCGCGCGGAGCCGGAGCAGCGGGGGGCGGCAGGAACGGGAGAGCGGGAGCGAAGGCGGCGGTGAAGACAAGGCGCGGCCGTTGGCAAGAAAGAGAAAAACGGCTACAACAAAAGGAGCATCCGCGGCGACGGGCCTGAACACGCGAAATGAAATTCTGAACACAAAAAACATTGCGACAAACGAAGCGTGGTTTAGCGCTGCTAGCGTGTCAGGAGCCCAGAATGCAAAACTGCACGAACAAACAAAAACGCCCAGGGCGCTTTCAAGACGAACCAGGGCGAATAGAATGGAATCCTATGTGCTCTCCCCCCAGGCGTTGCCACCTGACGAGGAGCCTACAATAAAAGATGTGTGGCGCCCCGCTGCAGTGGTCAATGGCGAGTACGAGTACAACAGCAGGTGCTTCGTCACCAGGCGCTGCCACGCAACGAGCAACGTGGAATGGCTGTGTTTCTCCACCTCAGGGCGCTGCCAGCTGGCGAATTTGACCAGACTCGTAGGTTCCCGCCCTGCTGCAGTGCCACGCGCAGAGTAACATCGAATCGCATTTGCGTCACCCCATCAGGCCTTGCCACGTGACGCATGGAGTCGATTGGTGACTGTCCTTCCCCACGCGCTGCCACGTCACGAGTATAACAAGAGTTTGTTGACGCCCCGCTGCGCTGCCACGTGGCAAGTCGCATACACGAGTACCGCTCCGCCACACAGGCCGTGCCACGTGATGAGCAAGAGTGGAATGGTACTGCTTCCGTCCCGCTACCTACCACTTTGCGAGTAGAATCGACTTGCTTGTTTCCGCCCCGCTGCGTTGCCACGTGGCGAACAGAATCGTCGAGTGTCTTCGTTCGCCCCCGAGGGGCTGCCCCAACGGGGGGAAGAAGCAACAATCCGCCCCGCTGAGCTGCCACGTGGCGACTGCACTCTCAGAGTATGCCTTCCCCCAGGCGCTGCCACGTGAAGGGCACAGTGAAATACTATTTTTCGGGCGGGCATGTCCCCCTACAGGGGGGTTTGGGGCGACATTTTTTAAAACACTTGAAAAATGCTTTAAAAAGTCAAAGATGATCCAAACATCGTCCCCATATTATTTTTGTACTATTTTTGAATATTCCTCCTGTAGAGGGACAGGCCCGACTGAATACTATTTCGTTCCGCCATGTTGCCTTGACATGCGCAATAAAAATTGAAACAGGCCAACTAACCAACCGCCCAACCAACCGACCGACCAAGTAGTCCGCCGGGCGACCGGGAAAACCAGCCAACCAGTGGCCGCCAACAGTGCTTCAACACGCTGCGGAACCGCAGGACCCGACCAGCCACCGAAGGCGAAGATGTCGGCCTTGGTGCAGCTCGAGGGAGAGGCCCGAAACACCTTTCGAATGGCAAAGATCTCGCGCTCCAGAATTTTGCTCGTCGGCGGGTAGCTGGCCGATGTAGCCCAACGTAATAATGACGGCAGCATTGAAGACTTTGATGCCAACCTGCAGGGGCGCCCAAGAGGTGCCGAGAAGCTGGGAGCGCTCCCACCATTTCAGACTGGGCGCGCGCCACTGGTGGGCACGGGCGCGCTCCCACCATTTCAGACTAGGCGAGGAAGACGCGGAACTCACCGGTGAAGGACTAGGATAGCAACGGCCAGCCTGGCAGGCGGCGGCGGCGGCGAGACGGTGTCGGGTCGGAGGTCGAAAGGAATCGAGCTTAAAGAACAATCCGATAAAATTCTGGACTGTGCCACCTGGCGTGCGCAAGGATGGCCCCACGGCGGGAGCCCTGAGTCGTCCTTGCTCAACCACACCCGTCGAGCACGGACGACGAATTACAAATCAGGGAGGAGGAGGAGGAGAGGGAGGAGGAGGAGGAGGAGGAGGAGGAGGAGGAGGAGGAGGAGGAGGAGGAGGGGCTGAAGGGGGAGGCAGCAGCGGACGCCGGCAGCCACGCCCCATCCTCTCGCCCTCGTGGCGCCCCACCCTGCGGCCTTCGGTCGTCGACCTCCAGGGCTCCCAGGCGTCGGGGAGCGTGAAGATCACCCTGATCCGGACGCGGTGGTCCTCGGGCAGGGCGTGAGGCCGCGGTGCGGGGGGAGGGGGGTGCGCCGGAGCCTGGGGACGCAGGATAGGTGGAAGGCCAGACGAAGAGGGGCGGGATTGGAGGGAGCTGTCGTGAGCACCAGGGAGGGCGGGAGCAGGAAGAGTGGAAGGGGGTGGATTGAATTGAGAACCGATGGGGCAGGAGAATTTCCACTTGCAGGCGTCCTGAATGGCTCTGCGTCGCTGGCACAAGAGACTCTCGAGCACTCCAGCAGATGCCGCCATGAGCCTCGTTTCGGACACTGCTGGCACTTGTGACCAGGTCACGTTTTGGGCCGCGTGCAGATGAGGGGGCATGCAAGACTGCGGGCCGTCTAGCTGGCAAAAGGCTGCGTTTGCGCTCGAAAGTGCGCAGGCGGGCGCACAACCGAAGCAACAAGCACAAGGCCGGCTAGAGCAAACCAGAGTTCGGCAGCCGCTGGCTGTGCAGAAGCAGTAGGAAGCCAGTGCTGCGGACCTGCTGGGTCTCTGGTGGCCGCCTCGTTGGTAACTGGTGCTGCCAGAGAGACTGCAAGCGGGCGTGCAACCGAAGCGGAGAGCGCAAAGTGGCCAGAAAAAAGGCAACTGTCGCAGCAGCAGCGGGCTGTGCGAATTCACAGGGACGCTGCGCGCGCCCGGCCCCGCGCCGTTGCCCCGCAGCGACTCTGACGGCCTTCTGCGCCGGCTGCTCGGGTGGCGGGGCGGCCCCAGTGGACACTGCAGGGGCCGTGGAATGCCCCGACCATGACGAGCGTGACGAACCAACAACACACACCCATACCCATAGGGAGATCGGAGAGGGCTATGGGTGCGTGTTGTCGGATGGGGGTCCCCGCTCGAAGGGGAGCGTTCCCCAGGGTCCGACAACCCGCACCCATACCCATAGCCAGTCCTCCTCCCAACGACCTCCCTATGGGTATGGGTGTGTGTTGTTCGTTCGTCACTGAAGGGGCCGTGGAATGCCCCGACCATGACGAGCGCTGGATCGGGAGCGAGGAGCTCTGGCCATGGCGAGCCTCAGCAACGAGCAGGCTCCCCGACCCAGCCTTAACGGAGCGGCCTGAGCACCGAGGAGGAGGAGGAGGAGGAGGAGGAGGAGGAGGAGGAGGAGGAGGAGGAGGGAGGAGGAGGACGAAGAGGAGTAGGAGGAGGAGGACGAGGAGGAGGAGGAGGAGGAGGAGGAGGAGGAGGAGGAGGAGGAGGAGGGAGGAGGAGGACGAGGAGCAGGAGGAAGGAGAGCCCCGATCGCCTCCCGCGCCCGCACGCGCGCGCCGGGGGGGGGGGGAGCTCTGCAGCTGGCGCAGGCGCCTCCGCCCTGAGCGCCCTGGGAGCCCCCCTGGTTCCCAAGCGGTCCTCGCTGCAGCGCCTTGCCTGCACAGAGGCCCGGGGGGCCTCGTGCGCTGGCCGGACGTGCGGCAGGCCCTGCCAGCTCGGGGGATCGCTAGGTCGGGCATGTCCTCCTACAGGCGGATCTTGAAGGGAAGATCAAACATATGCGAAACATGCTCCAACAAGTCACAAACATAATCAAAACATCGTCCCCTGACTATTTTTTGATAGTATGTTCCTGTAGAGGGACAGGTCCGACTGAAGGGTCGCTGGCCTGGCACCGCAGAGGTCTGCACATGAGCAAGGCCCCACCAAGTGCTTCGGCACAGGCAACTCGCGAGAGGGAGGAGGACGGACGACCTCGGCCTTCCTCAGCTTCGCATCCCACGACGTCCTTGCCTCGGTCCTGGGCGCTCGGGGCCTCCTCGGAGGCATCCCAAACGGGGTCCGAGCAAATGGGGTCGGAGGATCGCGCGGCATGGCCGATGCATCGGCAACGTCGGCATTGAGAAAATGAGGCTCCGCATCGTCGATGCACTGGGGATGCTGCGCGATCCTCGGACCCCGTCTACTCGGACCCCAGTTGGGAGGCCTGGACTCCAAAGCACCCTTGCTTCGGGCCTGGATTCTCGCAGCCTCCCGGGGAAGACCCTGGCGCCCTTCTCCCTCGTCTTCACCTCCACGGCATGCTTCGCCCACTGCGGGGTCGTCAGGTCAGGCTGGCAGAGCCTACCGGAGAGCCGTGCCGATGCGCGTCCGCTGGCGACCTCCTGCGGGGGAAGCCACCAAAGGCTCGCAGAACGGCTTAGACGGCGCGCGCATCTGCCCGATTCGTCTCGGCACCGCGCTCCGTCGCCGTGCGGCGAACGCGCGGCGGGCGGGCCACGGCCGAGATCCATGACGGCGAGCCAGGGCGCATCCTGACCGGGAAACAGGGGTACAGGTGGAGGCCAGTCCACAAGAAACCTTCCACAAGAAACCCAACCCTGAGACCCCAGGGCGTCCATTGATGTTTGGTGTGGGAACGTCACGCCTTCCACAGCAAAACCATCGAAACCCAAGAAGCCCAGGGCACCCTGCAGGCGAGCAGGGTGTTTCTTGGCATGGGTCTCCACTGTGCAGGTGGAGGGGGAAAAAGAGCAGAGGCCGCGGGACCGCCTGGCACGGGCTGTCAAGCCCTCAGAAGGGCGCCTGAGCCAGCGCTGGAGGAAGAAGGAGGGAAGAGGAGGAGGAGTGAGTGAGGCAACTCAGAAGCGGACGAGTCAATGCCCCCCGCCGCCCTGGGCCAACCGTGAGGACCATCACGGCTGGAGTCGGCGCGAGCTCGCATAGGAGGCTTACCGCGGCGAAACGCACAAAAGGCGACGCGCGCCACTAAAGGCAGCAGCGCCGTGACGCGCGGCAGACGCGCGGAAAAGGCGAGAGGCGTAGAGGAGGAGGAGGAGGAGGAGGAGGAGGAGGAGGAGGAAGAGGAGGAAGACTCCCTCCTCCCCCCAAACCGTCCTTCGACCCGTCGGCGGGCTCCGGCAGCGGCGGCACCCACAGCTCGGAATTGTGGTGCAGAACTTCCACCTGGCCAGGGGTGTGGACGGGGGCGGCGGCCGGCCCCTCTTTTCCCCTTGTGCCCCTCCCCCTCCTCTTCCTCGTCCTCCTCCTCCTCCTCTTCCTTTTCTTCCTCCTCCACCTCCTCCTCCTCCTCCTTGTCTTCCTCCTCCTCCTCCTCCTCCTCATCTTCCTCCTCCGCCTCCTCCTCCTCCTCTTCCTCCTCCTCCTCCTCCTGTTCCTCCTAGCCATTTCGCGCCCGAGCAGTCCCCCCCAGGTGAGCGTTTTCTTATTCGGCGTTCCGACACTGGGCTGGAGGAGGGGAGGGGAGGGGGGCAGTTCTGGCCCTGGACCTCTGCTTATTGTAGCTGCTTGTAACAGTGCGTCCCATGAAGAGGGACTCCACCTGCCAGAAACAGGCGACAGAAGCAGCCAAGATCTACTCCATGGGGGGGAGGGGGGGGGGGCGCGGGCCCGAGCCGATCGGCAAACCAATGAATAAAAAAAACTACCACCTGCACGGGGCGCACAAGAGCGCTCCGCGGGCAAACTTCGACATGGCCCTGTCCGCGAGAGCCGACATCACGAAGCGTGGCGCCCCACGTCATCAGCTACACAGTTGAAATCAGGCGCGTGCGCACCAGCCAAGAGGCGCGACACGCTCCGTCCTCTCCTCGTTTCTCCCCTCCCCCCGCCCCTCTTCCACCTCTTGGCGAGCAGTGGCGCCTGTTGTGGCGCCGCTGCCAAGGTGCAGGCATGTGTGGGGAAGCTGGAGCAGCACATCAACAGCCACACGTCGTTCATTTCTAATCGCGCTCAGTTCTAATTGCGCTCGTTCCTAATTGTTCCTGGCCCCCTCGTGGCCAGGAAGAGGCCCAGGGTAGAACAATCAGACATGAAAGGATCTTGGCCCCCCAAACAAGTCAAAGAACGTTCGAAGAACTAGACATGAACAGTGTATACAATGTTGGGAGTGGTGCGTGCGAGAGCAGGCCAGCAGGGGCCAGCCAAGATCCGCAGCGCCAGCAGCTACAGTGCTCAGCCCCTGCGGCGTCCTCGGCGACAGGTGCAGACGGCCCGGCCCGCGCAGCAGAGGCCAGAGCGAAGAGCAGCGCGAGATCACGGGCAGCGGCAGCACGGACCGACAACGCGAGAAGGCGTGGAAGCAACCACCGCACGAGCAGTGTCGTCGGCCACGTGGCAGCTGGGGCCAGCTCGTGCGAGAAGGCAGGCAGCGGCGGCATGGTCCGTCGGTGCGAGTGGGCGGGCAGCGGCAGCAGCGGCCGTCGGCGGCGAGTGGCCAGCTGGAGTTGCACCTTCAGCCGCAGTGCAGCGGGGGGCAGCTGGCGCGAAAAGGCAGGCGTTCACAGCATGGTCTGGCGGTGGGAAAATGCGGGCGCTGGCAGCAGCGGAGGCTGGTGCCAGATAGCCAGCAGGAGCAGATCTTCCAGCTGCATCACAACGGGGTCAGCTCGTGCGAGAAAGCAGGCAGTGGCAGCAGGGTCAGTCGGTGCGAGAAGGTGGGTGCTAGAAGGCAGGCAGTGGCAGCAGCAGTCGTCGGTGCCAAATGGCGGGGCAAGAACCCTTCGTCAGCTACCATGCGACGGGGGTCAACTCGTGCGAGAGCGGAGTGGCAGCAGGGACTGGCAGTGCAAAAAAGCAGGCAGTGGCCGCAGTGCTTGCCGGTGCGAGGAGGCATGCAGTGGCAGCTGTGGCTGTCGGTGCCAGCCGGCGCAGCAAGAACATCTCGTCAGTTACAGGGCTGCTGGGGCCAGCTCGTGCGAGAGGGAGAGGGATTGGCAGTGGCAGCGGGCGCTGGCAAGGCGAGAAGAGCATGCAGTGGCAGCGGCGTTGGCACTGCGTGCAGAAGCAAGCGCACGTGCAAACGTCATCAGCTGCAACGCTGGGGTCAGCTCGTGCGAAACTGGCGAAACTGTGAGTTTTCCCGCGGAACGCAGCAGGCGGCGGCGTGCGCCAGGGCGCTCAGCAAGCTGCCGCAGAGGGCGCTGCTGCCGAAGGACGTGGCTCGACAGACGGGCCAACCTCCTGGAGTTGCCCATCCCCCCTCGTCGCTCCTCGTCGTCACGGCTGGGCCCTCGCCGCCACGTGAAGGAAACGGCATGGGGAGAGATAGCTGCTGGACTGCGCGCCATCAGCTACAATGTCTGAGCACAGCCGAACCTTGTCGCCCAGGGAGTGTCTTGGGCAAAAGAGGGTTTTTCACCGCCAGCCGGTGTGATTGGACGATTCCGAGGCTAGACCAGCAGGATCCATATGAATCCTACTGATCCTCCTCCTCCTCCTCCTCCTTCTCCTCCTCCTGCTCCTCCTTCTCCTCCTGCTCCTCCTCTTCTTTCTTCCCCATCACCTCCCCCTCCCCCTATCCGTCTCCTGCGTCCCCTCCTCCGCCTCCTCCTCCTCCTCCTCCTCCTCCTCCTGCTCCTCCTCCTCCTCCTTTTCCTCGTCCCCCTCCTCTTCTCATCCCCCCCCTTCTTCCTCACAATTCTTTACACATGACTCCTGCCTGTTGTACCCCTGGACGTGTCGAAAGGGCGGGCCAGGCGTGTCGCCTGAGATGTCCTCGTTTTGTTGTATGATCCTGTAGCTTGACAGGTGCAACCGTTTGAAGGATGGAGGGCGGCTGGTGTTTTAGGTGTGGCTCTCGCCGTCGCGCCGCGCACATCCGTCCTGAAAGTTTGCAGAAGCTTCGAGGATGGAAGGCGGCTGGTCTTCAACGTGTGGCTCTCGCCGTCGCGCCGCGCACATCCGTCTTGAGAGTTTGCAACGGCTTCAAGGATGGAAGGCCGCTCCGTTTGCAACATGTGGCTGATGTCTTAGCGCCGCGAATCTTCCCCATACAAGTTTGCAGCACTTTCGAGGATCATAAGGTTGACGTCCCAGGAATGGTTTTCTGCCACGACTTAAGACTGCCAGGACGCAACAGTCGCCTTGACTCGCAACGCTGAAGTCCCAGGAACGGTGTTTGGAACGGTTGAGGATTCTCAGACGGTTGTCTTTCAATGGGGCGCTTCCAGCAATGAAACCGAATTATTGTAGGGACCTGTGGAGAGAAAATTTGGAGGGGGGGTATTGCAATATCGCCGAGACGCCTTGGATGTACACTGGTTCTCCTCCTCCTCCTCATCCTCCTCCTCCTCCTCCTCCTCCTCCTCCTCCTCATCATCATCATCATCATCATCATCATCATCAACATTAGCATTATCATCATCATGTCCCTTCCGCTTCCCGCACCCTCCTCTTTCCCAGGGGAAGAGGAGAAAGGGAGGATAAGGACAACGACGAGAGGAGGGAAGAGGTGGAGCAGGAGGAGGAGGAGGAGGAAGACGATAATGCTGTGTTTGACGTTTTTGGAGTCCCCCCTTCATCGCTTCCTCGCGCCGCGCGGGGGAAAGGGGGGGAGGGGAGCGGCCTCGTCCTTCAGCAGGACCTTCGGCGCCTTGCCCTCGAAGACTGCCCTGGCGTGCCGTACACCCGTCTTGTTCTTCGAGGAGGCGTCCTCGGCGGGGGGGTCCTTTGAACAAGGACAAGCCGTGGCCAGGATCCGCCGCCAAGCTACTGCCAACGAGCATCGCAAGCTCACGGAGCAGGGGCGAGGGATGGGAGGGAGGAGACAGGGCCAGGGCGCTGCGCGGAGATCCCCTGCGGCCAAAACGGCCGCTCACCTGCGGAATGCAAGCATGCACGACGGCGCCAAGGAGGGGGGGGGGGGGGCACGCGGAGTGGCAGCTCCTCAACGAGGCTTGGGGCCGGTTCCGACTCTTCCGGCGGGGACAGGACAAATGGCGAGCGGTGAACGCAACGCGTCCTGAATAGCCCCGGGTGTCGCTAGAAGGAGCACGAGTGCTCCCTCAGGATGTTTCCAACGCAGGAGGATAATGTAAGCATACATGTTGATAGGATGTGTTGTTTGCGCGCCCGAAGGCGACTACGTCAGTGCTGGACCAAGCGTGCAGTACCACCTGCGGAAGCAACACTCGGCATCGGAAGTGTGCACGCGTACCATATGGCATGTACTACAGTACACCTGCTAGTGCCTTTATTCCTCTACTGAAGACCATGTGTTGTCGACGCTGCTGTGATCCAGCCGCTAAGTGGATCAAAAGTACGATCCGGCGTGTGAGTCTAAAAGAATGCTGGCTTGAGCTCGCCTAAGCTTCGCTCTAAGGGAGGGGGGGGCCTGTTCCGTTTTCAAATGGGAGGCGGGTCGCCCTAGAGAGGGAGTGGGGGGCTGTTCCGTTTTCGGGGAGGGTAGGGCTCGTTTCGCTCTGGACGGGAAAGGGGGAGAGGACTGTTCCGTTTTCGAAGGATTTCGCTCTAGAGAGGAGGTGGGGGGTCTGTTCCGTTTTCGGGGGGGGAGGGGGAGGTTTTGTGTGGGGGAGGGGCTGTTCCGTTTTCGAGGGCGAGGGTTTGTTTCGCCCTGGAGGGGAGGGGGGGCCTGTTCCGTCTTCGGGGCGGGGGCCCTGGAATGAGGGGGGAGTGCCTGTTCCGTTTACGGGGGGAGGGGCCCTCGAAGGGGGAGGACGAGGGCCCAGAGCCGAACCAGGGCTGGGAATGGGCCCGGGTTTCGGGGGGAACGTGTCTAGACAAGCGCGTTCCACTATACTCGCAAAGTAACTGCTGGCAAATGGCCTGGATCCGCCGCGCGGGATGCACGAACATCGAGGCGAACACATCGTTTTCGAACACTTGCGAGTAGGCATTGTGCGAGTAGTGGAGCGCGCTCGGTGAGCAGTGCCCCGGTTTCGCTCGATCTGGGCCGCAGGGCCTGCAGGGCCAGGACCGGGGCGGGTGCCCAGGGCCGGGGCTGGGTCGGGCGCCCGGGTCTGGGCCGGGGCCGCGCGCGAGGCCCCGGGCCGGGGGCGGCCCGGCCGCCGGGGCGAGGCCGGGGCCGGGACCGGGGGCGCAGGGCTGGTGGGGCCGCGGTGCTCGAGGCCGAGGCCTGGGAGCCGGGGCCGGAGCCGGGGGGCGGGGGGCGGGGCTGCAGGCCACCGGGGCCGGGGCTGGGCGCGGGGCGGGGGCTCGAGGCGGGGCCGGAGCTGGGGCTGGGACCGGGGTCGGGGTCGGGGCTGGGGTCGGGGCCAGGGGCTGGGGCTACGTCATGCCGTTCCCTCTCCCTCGCGGCCTGGAGCAAACACCAGCGCGCGCCCTCAGCGCCACTTGCGCGAAGGCCGAGCGCTCCTGCTCAGAGCCAGGCGAGCTGAGACAACGGCGGCTCAAGCGCTCGGTCCTCGGACCCCTCCCGGGGTCCAAATGCATGAGCTTTCTGGAATGAGCCCAGCCGTGGCGACGAGCGGGCGCCCCGAAGGCCAACTACCGTCGTCTCGACTTCCTCTGTTGAAGCAACGGCGTCTCTCCCACATCCCCTCAGAATCGGTCCCTGGGCCAGGCACAGTGGCGGGATGGGCCAATGGCCATTCGATACCGCTACTCCCTGGACCCCTCCCAGGATTGTCTCGGACCAGAATGTCGAGGCGAATCCAGCGGTGCTTCCCAGGAGGCCCAACAAGGCGAAAACAAGGGAAGGGTAGCGGTATGGGCACCTTTTCCTCCTCTGACCGATGGCTTGCTGCCAGGTCGAGGGCGAGGGCCCTCCAGGGGCCTATCCTCACCCGCAGTTCGAAGCAGATCCAGCCGTGGCGGCGACAAGCCTCGAGGCGGCCCCTCAAAAAGGAGAACAGGCGCCGGGGACGGGAGGGACGCGAGACTCGGGCTCGGCAGACTCGGGTCGGCCTGGCGAGGCCAGCAAGAGAATGACGAGGCCCGGTCCTGAATCTCACGCGAGCTCCTGCTGCGAGCACCCCACGAGAAAACTGGGCCGTCAAACTCCAGGACGGCTCCCTCGAGGAGCCGCGGCAAACCAGGGAGCCGGCGAAAACTCGAGCCCTGCGCCTCCGCGAGTGCAAGGGCCGCTGTCGTCTCGCCTCGCCCTCCTCCGACCCGTCGGAGGCGGCGCTATAGGGGCGAAATAGCTCAGGGGCGGGCACTGCACGCCTGCGTCGGCGAGCGTCGCCGAAGACGTGGACCACGGGCGCCCCTGGACATTGCTCTCCCCCTGGGGCACGCGCCCCTATCGTCGCCATCGAGACCGGCTCTGCGGGCCTACACGTGGGCGGGCGCCGCGCCCCCCGGCGAGCTGCGGGCCCTCCCCACCACCGTGCCTATACTGTAGACTACCGCTGGCGCCCCTCACTTGCTCTGATCGTCATCGTTGCAATGGCAAGCCGCTGCAAAAGCATTGTATAGTGTTGCCATTGTTGTGCGTTGCGTTGCATTGGATATCGTTGAACTGCATTGGTTAGGACTACGTAGCTTGCGCCGCATAGCTTGCACCACATAACTCACACAGCATAGCTTGCCCCACATGGATTAGTGAACAACATAGCTTGGACCACGTAGCTTATGCCACGTCGACTGCTACACGTGGATGGCAACACATGGAGTGCATCCCACAATTTGCACTGTATACGTTGCACCACTTCGCTTAAGGTTAGGTGGAGATTGGGAGAATAAGTGCGTGAGTGAGTGATTGAGTGCGTGTGTGTGTGTGTGTGAAGGTGTGTGTGTGTGTGCGTGTGTATGTGTGTGCTTGTGTGGTGGTGGTGGTAGTAGAGGACGCGCGGGGAGAAGCAAAGGGCGGGAACGGTTGGAGCCAGGTGTGTGTGTGTGAATGTGAATTTGCGTGTGTGCGTGTGCGCGCGCGTGTGTATGTGGTGTGTATGTTTGTGTGTGTGTGTGTGTGTTTATGAGTGTGTGTGTGTGTGCGTGTGTTTGTGTGTTTGTGTGTTTGTGTGGTCGTGTGTTTGTGTGTTTGTGTGGTTGTGTGTTTGTGTGTTTGTGTGTTTGTGTGTTTGTGTGTTTGTGTGTTTGTGTGTGTTTGTGTGTTTGTGTGCGTGTGCGCGTGCGCGTGCGCGTGTGTGTGTGTATGTGTGTGTGCGTGTGTGTGTGTATGTGTGTGTGTGCGTGTGTGCGTGTGTGCGTGTGTGCGTGTGTGCGTGTGTGCGTGTGTGCGTGTGTGCGTGTGCGTGTGCGTGTGCGTGTGCGTGTGCGTGTGCGTGTGCGTGTGCGTGTGCGTGCGCGTGCGCGTGCGCGTGCGCGTGCGCGCGCGTGCGCGTGCGCGTGCGCGTGCGCGCGGGCGCGCGGGTGCGCGTGCGCGTGCGCGTGCGCGTGCGCGTGCGTGCGTGCGTGCATGCGCGTGCGTGCGTGCGTGCGTGCGTGCGTGCGTGCGTGGTGCGTGCGGGTGTGCGGGTGTGCGGGCGTGCGGGTGTGTGAGTGTGAGTGTGAGTGTGAGTGTGAGTGTGAGTGTGAGTGTGAGTGTGAGTGTGAGTGTGAGTGTGAGTGTGTGTGTGTGTGTGCGCGTGCGCGTGCGTGCGCGTGCGCGTGCGCGTGCGCGTGCGCGTGCACGCGTGCGTGCGTGCGTGCGTGCGCGTGGGCGTGTGCGCGTGTGCGCGCGTGCGCGTGTGCGCGTGTACGCGTGTGCGCATGTGCGCGTGTGCGTGCGCGTGTGTGCGTGTGTGTGTGTATGTATGTGTGTCTTGTATTGTGCTGCCTTGTGTTGCGTTGTGTTTTGTTGTGGTCTGGTGTGGTGTGGTGTGGTGTGGTGTAGTATGTTCGATTGTTTTGTGTTGTGTTGTGTTGTGTTGTGCTGTGCTGTGCTGTGTTGTGTTGTGTTGTGTTGTGGTGTTTTGTGTGAGTGTGAGTGTGAGCCTGAGTGTGAATGGTAGTGGGAGTGGGAATGTGAGTGTGAATGTGAATGTGAATGTGCGTGTGCGTGTGCGTGCGTATGCGTGAGCGTGAGCGTGTGCGTGTGCGTGTGCGTGTGCGTGCGTGCGTGTGGTGGGGTTGAGGCGACGAGAGGGTCAGTGGTGGTACGTGAATGGGGTGGTGTTTCTGTCTGCGAGAGTGTGGAAAGCGGCAGGACGACGGGTAGGAGGGAGAATGGAAGGGAACGGACAAAAAAGGGGGGAGAGAGGAGGAAAAAATCGGAGGGGGGGGGGAAGAGCGGAAGGGGGGGCAGGGGAAATTGGCACATCTTGAGAACCCCTGGATCGGCGGCACTGGCCGAAGGCCATCACGCAGCACACGAGCACCCCCTGGCGGCAGAAGGTACCCGGAACAGCACGGCTCGATGGTGACATGAGCGAGCAGGATCGTGCACTGCACATGCAGGGGAGACCAATTGTACGGGAGCGTGTTCGGGAAACCACACGGGAGACCCTACGGGAGACCACACAGGAGACCATCTGGGGGACCAAGCCGGAAAGCAAACGGGAACCCATGCACGGGATACGGGAGACAACACGGGAGATCGTGCAGGAGACTAGGCAGAGGATGGCACGGGAGACCCTACGAGAGAGCATACAGGGGACCGTACCGGGGACCACACGCGAGGCCAGGCGGGACGTGCGGGAGAGCATACGGGAGACCATGAAAAAAAACCATGCGGCAGACGCGACGGGGTACCACGCGGGAGAACGCGCGGGAGGCCGTGCGGGAAACCGGGCGGGAGACAACACGAGAGACCAGACGGGAGGCCACACAGGAGACCACGAGTCACCGATTCCGGATCCGGGGACGCTCACGCCCAGCCGTCAAACAATTACACAGAAGCCTTACAGACAAGCTGTGTTGTGGAAATTGCCACCGGCAGATCCCCTTGTCCAACCACATGACGTCGACAGTGTCATGCTGCCAGCGAATCAAATGGCAACGCCTGTGAAGAATAGCCGGCCGCGGAGGCGGAGCAAACGAAGTAGCAGTCTCTGCAGGACATGTACGAGCGCAGACACCTGGAGGCATGTAACTATGTGCGCTGAAGTCATGCGTGGGGCAGTGCTGCGTCTATCAGACAAGCAGAGTCGTATACACTACGTGAATACGAAAGCATCGAGTGAACCCACACAGTCTGGCAAAGCAGAAGTCGGCTGAAAGCGCTTTCTATTGCATGCGATCTGTTGACCGCGTACGCTTCGAAAACTCCAGAACAAATTAACCGCCAACATGCGTTCGCCTGCATGACTCGTACCCCTTATTGGGCACCATCTCATTTACAGTTGCTACAGTGTCCGACGTTGCACAGCGTAGGGGAGGGGGGCAACTGCTTGCCCAGATCACCCCTTCAGGCCCATTCCTACCTGAAGGTCTCGCCACACTGAACGACCCAGTAGCCCGATTACGCAGGATTGAGTTCAGCGCGTCTGCATGCAAACCTGTGTGAAAAACATGGACGGCAGGCCGACATCATGAGATGAAAGACCAAACGATGTACGACATGCAACCCTGAACACCCATGGTACAATATGGGAACGTGACTGACGGCATAACACCGCTTATGCAAAACGAGACGTGATGACGCACAGTGTCCTTCACGCAGAGCTGCACATCCCGGTTCTTCTTCTTCAGGAAGATGACGCAATGCTCGAAGGACACTTGCCTGTTGCAGGCAGCTTGCATGAATCGGGATGCAGCAGCCAGGCAAACGCAATACAGTCAACATCAACGGCAAATATGGCCTTGAAGGATGCAAGGCACCTCGAACGCATTACGTAGATGATGCCCGTGGACCAAAGGAACTGGAGCCATGACAATCGTGCCCGAACCTGGGCGGTGAAAGGTCCCCTGACACGTCTCTACATAGATATGTCCATTGGCAGGTCGCTAGACACGTCCCATGGAAAAGTGCGGGTGGGGAGCACGGGACCCCTGAGAGGCCATGGACCTGAAAACCCTACAAAATGAATGCATCACTTTCGTGCGTCCTATGCCGACCTTTCAGTCCGGTGCGGGGGATTTTCGAGAGGAACTGTGGCAACACAGATGAAACACAACGTCTCGGAAGTGCCGCCATCAGAAACTGGGTAAGAACATAACAGTGACGACAGGGCGACATCGTAAACACATTCAATAGAGGTCAGAAAATCCACCCCGATAATAACCACCCCGACGCGCGAGGCCTTTAGTAAACGCGCGCAAAAAAGGAATCGAACAGGGCAATGCTGTTTAGTAAACGCCCAGGGCCATCTAGTAAACGCCAATTGTCCGGTCCGGGTGGTTCTTCTTCCCTTGATTCAAGCAAATGGCACCCTCGCGGTAGAAGACCCTAAACAACACAATGCAGTTATACCTGAAACCCTACACGGTGCTCTATACATGCGGGAGACCATCTGGGAAACAGTACGGGAGACCATACGGGAGACCGCACGGGAGAGCAAGAATCATAAAGAACCTCTGCAGACGAACTGCTTATGTAAGCACGCTTCTGAAGCACGCTTCTGACACGGCGCAAGCGGCGGTGATGACAGGCCATCATCGGCAACACACAATCACAACACAGCACCGCTTCCGAGAGGGCACCATCGGAAACACCATCAGCGTTCCGAGTAGGACGCCATCGGAGTCACAGGAATGCCATCGGAAACACAAGGTAAGCACAACGCTTTCGATGAGAGGGTAGATGACAGCACTGTACAACTCAACGTCCATTTAGACCTGAAACGTATTACCCTCGAGCAGGCAGCCACGGAATATACCTGCGACCGTCCTGGGACGCACCTCTCCGGATCTGGAGCGCACCATCCTAGAGTGGACCTACACGGAATGCACCCGATAACGTTCCGGGGCGCAACCGCTGTCCAGCCCAAGACAGCACTACTCTCGAGCGAGCGCGCTTCGGACTGAGATCCTGAGACTGACCATGATGTCCCAGATGGGAGCAGGAGACACCCCAAAACAAGTCACTTTAAGATCGGCCCTCCGTTAGAACCCTGTAGCGACATCTATGGGGACTAACTGATTTTTACACATGATTTGACACATCCCACGCTCTTGCAAATATCCCACCCACCCACCCGCAACTTGGTTTGCAAAACCTCTTAAGACCGACTACGACGACACCGACGACAAGAACTACGACGACACCGACGACGTCTCCGACGACTTCGACGACGACGACGACGACGACAACGACGCCGACGCCGACGACGACGACGAAGACGACGACGACGTCGCCAACGAAGACGACGACGAGGACGACGACGGCGACAACGACGACAAAGACGACAACGACGAGGGAGGAGGGAGGACGGCGACGACGCGAACGACGAAGACGGAGGAAGGACGGCGACGCCGACGATGACAACAACGAGGAAGAAGGGAAGACGACGACGACGACACCGACGACGACGACGACGACGACGGCGACGAAATAGGAGGGACGACGACGAGACGCCGACGACGGACGACGACGACGACGACGAGGGAGGAGGAGGAAGGACGACCACGGCGACAACGACGACGGAAACGACCACGACGTCAAAGAGGACGACGACGACGACGAACACGAGGAAAGACAGAGGACGACGTAGGCGACGACGACGACGCGGGAGGAGGGAGGACGGCGACGACGACGACGACGACGACGACGACGCCAACGACGACGCAAGAGCGCGCGCGCACGCTTTTGTTGAAAATCCGTGTTGCGAAACCTTGTGTTTTTGTTAGGTTTTTTGGACACACGATTTTGAAATCCCTCCGACACCGATGGGTTTTGAAGGTTTTCGGCGTACGCGCGCGACGGCGCGCGCGTCTGCACTTCGTCACATGCTTTGCAGAGGATTCTCGCGACGGCACACGCGCAATGGCGTTCGACAGATTTCGACATGCGCGCGCGAAGCCCGTTTGATAGCAGTTTGCGAAAATCTTGAAAAACCTATCGTTTTCTTATGATTTCGCAAGAGCTCGCGCGGAAACGTTTTCTAGCAAATCAGTGTTGCGAGACCCTATGTTTTTTTTTATATGTTGTTTTGGAAACCCAATTGCGAAATCCTTCCGGCACTGAAGGATTTCGGCATGCGCGCGCGACGACGCGCGCGTGTGGACTTCGTTTTTTTTGTTGCAAGGGATTCGTGAACAAGTCTTATGTTAAAACAAAAACTGTCCCCGCGTATCGTTGTTTACAAGGGAACCTCAGGGGGGCCGATCCCGGCCCCTCCGGGATATTGTAAATTCATATTTAGGATGGACATGTGGTCAGAATCATACATGATTTACATACCCGAAAAGGGGGGGATAACGCAGGGGGGGGTAGAGCCTATTGTCTTTTTAAAGGAGAATCAATAAGGAGAAGGGGGAAGAGGATGAGACGGAGGGGAAGGACAAGGAGGGAGGAAACGAGCGCAGAGGGGGAGGAGGAGGAGGAGGAGGAGGAGGAGGAGGAGGAGGAGGAGGAGGACTAGGACGAGGAGGAGGAGGAGGAGGAGGAGGAGGAGGACGGGAGGAGGAGGAGAAGGAGGGGGAGGAGAAGGAGGCGGAGGAGGAGGAGGAGGAAGGGGAGCACCCGTGCGAGCGGAAAATCCGACTCGTGTGAGCTGGCCCGAAGGCACTTCGCGGTGCATCAGCAGCTGAAGCCGAAGCCAAAGCCGAAGTGCACAGAGAAACGGAAGAGGAGGAGGAGAAGGAGGAGGAGGAGGTGGAGGAGGTGGAGGAGAAGGGAGGAGGAGGAGGAGGTGGAGGAGAATGGAGAGTGAGAATGAGAATGCGCTATCACGGAGTGATCAAAAAAGAGACTACCTCGACGCCCTTGCTGCCTGCTGGGCTCGAGTCAAGGCCTTTGGCCACTCGCCACGATCGATTCGTCGAAGGTATTCCTTCCGAGAATTGGTGATCTGGCGGGGCTGACAAGGGCCCTGGAGACCTGGAGTATTGTGCTCACTACTATAGAAACCGCAACCGCTGCAGAACCATAAACCGAGAATGCGATGGAAGACCATACGGTGTGTGTCATGCACCCAGCCCCCACCTATATGTAAGTGCTGACCGACAGGGAGGTGGAGAACATTAGCATTCCCAGGAGTGAGCATGAAACAGGGGGACCGACGCCACCGCTGTACAGTGGCGTCAGTGGCAGATCCCTGGCAGCGACGGCACCTCTTGCCGCACTCGTACAGAGCGTGGCCCGTCTCGAACGCAGTGACAATATTGACTGATGGCGGAGGAGGGGGAGGAGGAGGAGGAGGAGGCCCCGCCTGTGTCGAACTCCTCGAGGTGGGGGCCTTCGAAGCGGCTGCTGCGTTGAGGGCCTCCAGGCCCGCGCGGAGGAGTCGGCGTCTAAGAAAGAGGGCATCTTTTTCCACCGTCCAGATCCTCGATCGCAGTGCTTCGGGGAGTCGAGCGGACACCGCGGCCTCTCCAGCCAGAATATCCGCCACCGTATTGCCAATGGTGAGAAACAGTGGCACCTTTTTCATGAGTGCCTCTTCAGCCGTCATATGGGATGCAACCTGGAGAACAACAATCTGTGACGTGTCACGGTTCTGGTCCTGAAGTTGCTTCCTAATCGTGTCCCAGATCCCCTTGTTGTCTCCCGATGGCTCAAGATAATGACCAGAGTACCATCCGTCGGCGACAGCAGAGTTATCTGTAACATAGATAAGGGATCCCGTACTATAAGAAATAGCCAAAAGGAGCCCATAGAGTTCCCCACGTGGTACAGTTTGTCTACGTCCAGGGAGAGGCCCAAGAATAGTAGACCCAACACACGGGGGGCTATAGGAGCTCATGGTATTGACTGCGATGCCGATGCGACGAAACCGAGGTTCGCGAGCATCGGGCCCGCCACTGGCATCTCCGTATACAACCAGAGGTGCGTCTTCACAACCGTGGCCCAAAAATGAGCCGTGCAACTGATCATCATTCGTCATGTTAGTGAACTGCCAGGCAGGTTCGTCCGAGGGGCGTGGGATTGCCGTCCAAGCCCTCGGGATCAAACCTCGTAGCCAGTAGCAAGCCTCACTCTCGTGCAGCGACTGTGCGCGAGGGGCCAGATAGTCGGAGTCGACGAAGGCCTTCGCTTCCTTATTACACCTGCAAGTCCAAAAACGGTGAAACGCCGTCTCGGCGCCGTCGTGGCACCGGTGGCAGGTAACATCTATCTTGGTCCTGGTCTCATCAACAACTCGCTGCCGTGGCCAAAACCCTCCCGTAGCTATATTGGCCATAACTTCAGCGAGCCTATGCCCGTTCTTGCACAAGCGGAGCCCCTGGATAAACTTACGGTAGCTGTAGTTGTCAACCCCGTCGGCCATCCCCCCCCCACAATAGTGCACGGATGCCTGAGACCAGCACCTAGTTTGAAATGCGGCTTCAAAATCATCGAGAATGTCTGAGTAGTCCTCGAAACCTGAGAGGTCAGCCTCCGAGAACTTCCACGTGAACTCAGGGGCGTCCCAGGTGTTAGGCGCCTGAGGACCCCAACCAGCTTCGAGAAGATACCCAATGATGGCTGCAATGGGCCCACGGATCTGCCGAGAAATCTGAATCGGAGCCATACTACGGAGCTGACCAACGATACGGGGCCAGACAACACGAACCATGGGACGAATATCAGGAGTACTGAACCAAACCGACAGCCATAATCGTAGCGCTTCCTTGGGAAAC